CTAATGTCCATCAAGCATGAATCAATTAGCACCTTATGGTGGTTATGTTAATAAAGAATATTGATTTATAAGTCCAGCTACAATATGCTTGACTGCATCAAGGCTTCGCCAGCCAAGCTGAGTCACAGCATTTCCCCAAATTAAATACCAAATGCACCAGGCTGGCCAGTTAGCTCAGCTGGTTAGAGTGCAGCCTTATAACACCAAGGTCACATGTTTGGATCCCCATACAGGCCAGCTGCCAAAAAAAAAAAAAAACCCACCAAAATGCATGACACCACAGTTATGTGTGATCATGGGCTAATTAGTCATTAGTTCATCAAGATGTCTTATGTAAGAAGAACAAGTGAGTGATCTTAATTTTATGGCCCTGAAGTAAGAACCAGATGACAGGTATACTTTCACATTAGAAACCCCAAGTGTTATGGGCCCAGAGAAAGGAGGGGAACACTTCTCAAGTGGGTTGCTGATTTCATGAAGCTTGGTGATAAACATACTGCTATTGGAGATGACATGTAGGTTGTCAAGAATTGATTTGACTTAATGTGCTATGTATGACCCATAATAGTATGTTGTATATATGCTAAGGATTTAACTAAGCCAAGAATATTCACGGTTGAATGCTTTAATGTACAATGACCATCTAATGTCTTATGCACTTTATACAGTTTAATGTACCTGATTATATGCATGATGTATTTAATTTCATGTACAAGACATATATATATATATATATATATATATATATATATATATACTATTGCTTTAGATTGGATGCCCCCCAAACCTCATTGAATCCCCACTGTAACTGTTGAGGGCGGGAAATCCTATTATGGTAATTGAAAGGTGGGGCCTTGAAGAGGTGATTAAGTTGATGGTTTAATAGTGGACATGGGCATGGTTCTGAGGGCTTTAAAAGGGGTGTATGAGGAACTATCTCTCTCTCTTCACCATTTTCTACCATGTAAGACCCCTGGGTCACTGTCACCACCACCAAGACCCTCACCAGATGTGTTCCCTGGACTTTGGACTTCCCAGCCTCCAAAACTGTAAGCAATAAATTTTGTTTTCTTACAAATTACCCAGTTCCGTGTATTTTGTTATAAGCAACAAAAATGGACTAATACAACTATGCATGATATAGCATATGCTGTACGAGTACATTATTAATGGGCAAGCCACTTAATGCATGATGGACATAGGATGTTTATAAATTCACATTCTTTCAATACTGACATAGCACTTAAAAATTATTTTGCTTTCAAGTAGCAAAAATCAGGGAATAGTTTAAGTAGAATTTCAGCTTTGGGTGCTGATGGTGGGGCTTCTTCCTTGACTGTCCTTCAGAGATGTTATTCTCTATTTTTGGTTTACGAGACCAAAATATGCTATACTATAAAGACTCTTCATTTAAGGAGTTTATTCTCGATTATGCTTGTAAGAGGTATAAAGATGAGAATAATGAAGAATTAAAGGATTGATGCTATTTGTCTGGGCCTCCAATTCATGTAAGTGTGAGGAGGTCAGAAACTAAGATTCAAAACAAGCGTTGACTTAGTAGTCGGAATGTTATGATTTGTTGTTTAGATGGTTGAAGTATGGGGAAGATTGCTAGGATTAGTATGGACAGGACAAGGGCTAAGACACCTCCTAGTTTATTAGGAATAGATCATAGAACTGCATAGGCAAATAAGAAATACCACCCTGGTTTAATATGGGGTGGTGTGTTAAGGGGATTTGCTGTGAGGTAATTGTCTGGGTCTCCTAAAAGATCAGGGGAAAATAGGAGTAATACTAGGAAGATATCCTTAATTGTGTAATAAGGATGAAACAGAATTTTATCTGAGTTGGATGAGATTGCTGATGGGTTGTTGGATCCTGTCTCATGTAGAAATAAAAGGTGAACAATGACTAAAGCTGAAACAATAAATAGTAAGACAAAGTGAAAGGCAAAGAAGCATGTGAGTGTAGTTTTATAAACTGAAAATGGCCCTTAGATTCATTCTACTGGGCTTGTGCCAATATATGGGCTTGTGATAGCTGATAGTAAATTTGTAATTACTGTTGCTCCTCAGAAAGATATCTGTCCTCATGGTAATACACGGCCTATATAAATGCTGTGGCTATAACTGTGAATAGTAGTATAATCCTGATATTTCAGTTTTCTAAGAAGGTATATGACCCATAATATAGGCCTGGCCTGTGAGGCTAAATAGGCAGATATACCCTGATTTGACCATCATATATTGCACACAGGTATTGATATTCAATGCTGTATTCCACAGATATGTATAATTGATTATGTTTCAATTTTAAAAAATAGGCAGATAAAGACTACGGATGCTCTGTTGGAGTGTATTTATTGGATAATTCAGCAGTAGTTCACATCTTGGCAGATGTGTGTGACAGAAAAAATGCTGTTATTGTATCTGTATAGTGTGACTCTATATAAAATAATCTAGGAAGGGCCTATTAATGCAAATACATAGTACAAATAAGAATGAAGACATGGAAAGGGATGTATAATCTATTTAAAAGACAAACTGCTTTTTAAAAATTTAGCATGAGTTGTTAGTACTTAGGTAGATACTGCTAATCGAAAACCATAAGAATTTTAGAATGGGGGGGCCGGCCCGGTGGCACACTGCTACAGTGCGCCGCTTGAGAGTACGGTGGCGCTCCCGCTGAGGGTTCGGATCCCACATACAGACCGGTTCCCGCTCACTGGCTGAGCAAGGTGCGGGCGCAACACCGAGGGTTACGATCCCGTTGCCGGCCTGGTCCGGTACGGGCGCGACACTGAGGGTTGCGATCCGTTGCCGGACACAAAAAAAGACAAAAAAAAAAGGAAAAAAAAAAAAAAGAATTTTAGAATGGAAACGAACTTTAAAAATCAACCAGTCCAATTCCCCTACCAGCCACACGCCAAAAGAAAAGAAAGTTAACCAGTCCAGCTTTGAAAATTTTACAGATGAGGAAAACAGAGCTTAGAAGTTAAAGAAGTTGCCACTGCCTAAGATAAACCAGAAGTTACTGAAACAGCTGAAACTAAAATTCAATTCTCTTGACTCTTCTCATTGAATTAGGCACTTTCCAAAAAATTTTACAAGTTAATCTAAATCAGGTCCTGACCTCTACCTGAAATCACTGCTAGGTTTTCTCTATTACATTTACTTGAAAATAATAAAGCTATATTTTTTAAATGTTCTCTAATTTATCATTTCAAACAGGATTCCCTCCCTTACCCTATTTCCAAATTGGTTTTAATGAATGGGGTTTGACTGTATGTCACAATTACATGGAATATGAAATATCATTAAGTCCGGAGCTGAAGATCTTATAAAGAACTGATATTCAGTCATCTAAATAAGTTGAGTGGCAATTATGTGTCAGATACTGTCCTAGGTTCCAGAGATACAAGGATAAATACAAACAGTCCCAGTCCTCAAGGAGCTCTTACAATCTTAGTAGCTATCAGGGTTTGGTCTTTGAGTTTCCTTTTTTAGAAACTTTTTATTGTTGAAAATTTCTTTTTTTTTTTTTCCTTTTTGTCTTTTTTCGTGACCGGCAACGGATCGCAACCCTCAGTGTCGCGCCCGTACCGGACCGGGACCGGCAACGGGATCGCAACCCTCGGTGTTGCACCCGCACCTCACTCAGCCAGCGAGCGGCCGGTCTGTATGTGGGATCCGAACCCTTGGCGGGAGCGCCGCCGTGCTCCCAAGCGGCGCACTGCAGCAGTGCGCCACCAGGCCGGCCCCTTATTGTTGAAAATTTCAAAGATGTTCAAATGTTAACAGATGAGTATAATGAGTCCCAATGTACCATTACCCAACTTTAATAATTATTAACTCATCATCAATCTTACTTCATTCTCCCCCACTTCTTCCCCTCCTGTATTATTTTGAAGCAAATTCCAGCCATCATTTCATTTCATCCACACATTTCAAAATGTGTCTCTAAGAGATAAAGAATCTTAAAAAACAAAACAAAACAAAAACAACCATAACCACACTACCATTATCACACCTAAAAGTTAATAATTTCTTAATATCATCAAATATTTGTTCATGGATTCATAGCACCTGGAAGGAAAAGGCAAAACTTATCATATGTGTTTGGGTAAAATTTGTATTACGAAAAAGAAAGTTATATCATCTGTCAAATGTTATCTCAGTCACTGATACTTCCCAAAGAATTTAGTTGAAAAAATATATTGCCTCCAGTTGCAAATATATAAAGCAAAAGTGAAGTAGAGATACACTATTACTGAGTTCTTGTCCACGCAGAGAATGCAGAGATGGGTGATAATTCTCTGAAAGTAATCCCTAATCAAGACCTCGAATAGAGTTTTCTTTCAAATCATCAGGAGGTAGTGAGTTTTTGTGAACAAAAAATTGGTGGCCAAATTCTTCCATGAATTATTAAGTTCTTGGTATCTTATGCCATAGAAACTGTGAGTAGAAACAAATTTGAACACTCCCTGCTGAGCTTAAAAGAAGCAACAAAACATCCAATATATATGTTCTGTGGGAAAGTAAGAGATATGTCTATATTTGAGTCTCCTGTTAAGAAAAGGAGAAACATATGCAACATCATAATTAGATCACAGATAACATTACTGAGGGCTTATTAAGTGCCTACCACTCTAAGTGTTTTCCATGTATTGACTTATACTCTGGTTTCTCTTCAGGTCACATGAATCTTTAACCTTTTACATGTATTAACTCATCAAGTCATCACAGCAATCCAATGAAGTAGGTACTAATATTATTCCCATCCTACAGATGGGGAAACTTGAGCCCAGAGAAGTTAAGAAACTTGCCGAAGGTTACACATCTAATAAGTAGCACATCCAGGATATGAACCCAGGAAGACTAGCCCCAAAGCCTATACTGATATTACCCACTACGCCGAACATCTCTCAATATAAGGTTTGTATTGAAAATTACTATAATTTTTCTAATGGCGAATACTTCACTTCTGTTGAAATAACTTACTTATTTTCAGATTCCGGCATTTGAGAAACTTTTGGAAGAACAAGACGAAACAAACACCTGTATGATAAAGTAATAGGAAGTGATTGTTAGGAAGAAACATGCAAAAGAATATAAACCAAGTTATTAACATCGATTACCCCAGGAGGCAGAAGTGAAAAAAAGAGGGTAAGGGGAAGATTAATCTTATTTTATTTATAGATATTTGTATTGTTTTAATGGTTGCAATGAAAACATACCAATTTTGTAATTTTGAAGGATTTTAATAAAAGAATTTTAAAACAAAAATGATGCTTATAACAAAATTCTTAAATGGTTCCACAGTTCATATCATTGCCCAAAATGACCTGCTAGAACATCAGGTATGGGGCTGGCCAAATAGCTCAGTTGGTTATAGCACAGCCTTAAAACACTAAAGTCATGGGTTTGGATCCATGTAATAGCCAGCCGGAAAAAGAAAAGAAAAAAAAAAAAAGAACATCAGGGGTGGTGTATAAGTCTTTATATTTATTTTTCTTTATATTTTTCTTTCTATAAAGGAACCTGGAACTGGCCTTTGGGTCCCACATAAACTAGGAATACTATTCTTTGAGGGATCTGACAGCATGACAAACTGACAAAATGAGGTAGTTGGTAAACTTTCAAACCCTAAAAAGCTTTTTAAAAAAATACTATCTGTCCTGAATGATTTTAGACATTTAGCTGACTGAAGGCATGCAAGTATCTCAAGACTCCTGACTTTTAATACTTTGTATCCATTTCCCTTCAGAAGTGTGACCTCAAGAGTCGTTGAACAACAGGAAAACCACTCTAGAACCTTTCTGGTTTCCCATTTTTCACAGTGATTTTCTCAGTCACACCATTAGCAGTTATTATATCCCAATCTCACCCTCCTCTGCCTCACTACTGTATGTAAAAGTAACCTTTCGACAAAACATTTTCCTTCCTAGAAAAGAGAGAAGGGGAAGATCAGGTTCAGCTGCTCTCTTTATTTTACTTTGAACATCTGGGTTAATAGTTGTCATAGTAGACATTGATCTCATTGGCACTATTTTGGCAAAGTTTATAGACCAAGAGTAACATGAGCAGAGGAAATCTATTCACTTCCACAGGATGGGGATTACTTACTTTAAAGCTGTAAGAACTTGTTGTGGATCGTCTGAATGTTGAGCTAAATATTCCAAAGCTTTTCCTGCCACAATATGTTGTCCATTCTAAAAAGAACAAATATAATGTGTTAAATTACATCTCAAAGTGATACTTGAAAAATGTTATTTATATTCCTGGCTATTAAGGACAAGCAAAAAATATGAACATGTTCACTTTGTATTCTTAAAAGAGCTACTGCAAGATGGTAAAATGAAGATACAACTCAGTGTATCTGTAGCCCCAGAAACCCACTCCTCCCTATCTACAAACACTCACACTGCCTTGCCCACACTGCCTTGAATCCATTAGGACTAATCTTATTGTGCTCTTTATCCCCGTTTATTACAGTAATCAAAAGAATCCTAATCTGTCAGATCAGCCTCATTTCCAGCACTCTAATATCCAAATGGTTCTGTATGAAAGGGACCTTAGCCAGAGAATGGCCATCTTTGGGGTAACTAAGACCAAGCAGAACATTTCAGTTAGCTGTTAACTTGGGAACTGATAATCATCAATTCCTGAGGTTTGTAGAGGAAATAAGAAACTGACCATATGGCCGAAACTGCCCTGAGATGAAATCAAGCTCCAAAAGGATACTTCTCAAAGGTTTATTTTGGTTTACCTCCCATTACACCCTCTTATGCTGATTTACTTTAGATGTTGTACACCTACAATTAAGGATTGAAACTGTTTTCTTGTTTTTCTTACCTCCCTAAATCAACAGCAAACAGAGGAAATACAAGAGAAGGCAAAGCACCCTAGTTGATTATTAACTCACCTTCTTGCTTAAAGGAAAACTAAATCCACATTAGTTGGAGGTACTAATCATGTATTTTTATGTTCCAGTGAGGCTTGACTGAGGTTATTATCTTTGAGCTCTCCCCAGGAGATAAGGACTCCAACCCCGAAATAACATCAAGGGCTTGAAGCTGACAAATCCACCAACTGCAGCCTCCATGACGCCAAAGCACCCAATCCATCATGGGACTCTTACATCTGACTCAGACCCTCTACTGATCCTGTAACCAGCCTCCCCCTTTCTCCTGTGGGACAAAACCCTTACCTCACCTTCCCACCTCTTCCTTTATAAAGCCTAGAACAGGCATCAGAAGGCAGGATGACTTTAGCCTCATCATCTCCCACATGCCAGTTATCTGAATAAACCTTCCAATCCTTGCACCAGCTTGTGGACTTTTGAGTCATTTGCTTAGTGCAAGAGGGCAAGCCAAGCCTGGCTGCCTGTAACATGTGTAACCCCTTTTCTGTCCTCTTTTCCCATTTCTCCCCAACTCCTCCAACCCTTTCACTATGCTCTCTAAAATTCAGTCCACTATCAGCAAAATCTCCTCTATAAGCAACCTCTTCCCTGAAAGTTCCCTCCACATTCTTGTACTAATGGAAATCAAGGTTTCTGCCAAGGATACTGTTTCCACGGAAGCCCTCTCAAGTGGTGGCTGTTTTTGCTTTCACTGCCCTTCTACTCCTAGGCCTGGAGATTAAGGTGTCCTTCTTGCTCTTCACTGACATTTAAAAATTGTTCTCCCTTTCTGTTCCCTAAAATCCCCAAATTTGAATTTCCTGTCACTAGACCATATCACCACTATTCCTCATTGTTGCTGTGGTCTACCAGCACCCAGGCCATTTCTTCTCATTTCTTGACAATTTATCTATTGCTCAGTTTTCTCCCAAAACTACTCCTGTATTAATTTTTGGCATTTTCAATATACAGGTAGATGATCCTCCCTGCCTCTTAGTTCCTTGAATTCCACTCTGCCAATTACCTTAGCCATTCACTCTCAGTCATTCACTAGACCCTGTCATTACTAATAATTGCAACTCTTCCATACTCTCAGGTGAGCCAGGTGAGGTGAGCAAAGCACCTAGGGTACAAAACTTCAGGAGGCACTCACTCTCAGGGTTGTACAATTACTGAGCCTGCATTTACGTTACCCTGAGAGTGAGTGCCTCCGAAGTTTTGTGCCCTAGGTGCCTCACTCTCTCACCCTAGTTCCCCACCCCAGATCTCAGTTTCATGTACTGTATTCTACTTCTGACCACCACCTCTTACCTTTTCAACTCACTCCCTCTATTACCCTGACTCTAGCAATCCTTCAACTGCAGTTAGACCTCCAATGCACTGATGCTACCAATTTTTCACCATCCCTCATCCCCTTGATGTCTTCCTCCTTACACAGTTTAAACTCCAGGAGGATTAATTATAATCACTCTCTTGTTCCTTGATTTTCCTGTCCCTCTTTTGCTTATTGTATTCATCTGGCAAAACCACAAGTCTGGTTAAGTCCAACTTTCCACTGACTTTTGTGCCTCCATCCATTCAGCTGAATGTGGCTGGACAAAAATTCACACAATTACATTCTTCATTTTAAACCTCATCAAATAGGCCTTACTTTCTTTATTATAAAACTTCATCAAATTGGCCTTGATGCTATTGGCAAGCATATCACACTTCCCTAGTCATTCACTTTCCTACTTTCCTGGATGATTAATTTATACCTTATCCTCTCTTCTCAAATCCCTAACAGCTCCTCTCCCAAGGTCATCATTTGAGAATGAGAATGGGAGAGGAGAAAAGAGGAACCAGCAAAGGAGAATGAAAGAGAGTGACTCATGAGGTAGGAGGAAAACAAGGATAACGGGGTGTCCTGGAAGCCAAATGTGTTTCAAGGAGGAAAGAGTGATCAACTGTGTTGAATGTTGCTGATAGGTCAAATGCAATAAGGACTGAGAATTAACCATTGCAATTTACAATGCAGGAGTCACTGGTGACCTTGATCAATGGTTTTGGTAGAGTGGTGTATTGCCTCATGGCCAGCTTAAGGCAATTGGGTTGGGCTGGAAGGAATGCTTCAGAAGCCTATGCCCTAACCGACCAGATGTTATCGGACCACAATGGCTGTGTCACCTTGCATACCACTGATTTCAAAATTGCCCATTACTCTGCCAGAACCCTCCCTAAAAGTCTTATAAACCTCCTGCTTTCCTTAGTTCAGGGGAACTGATCTGGTTCAGTCTCCCCTCCACATTAGTGGAATAAAGCTTTGGCTGAAATGGCACTTGGCTCAGGTCTCTCTCTCTTCTCCGTCTCGCCAAACCTAACATGGTGGGGCAAAAGCTTGATTGGAGTAAGCTTGAGAATTGGAGGAAAGGATTGGAGACATTAAGAATAGACAACTCTTTAGTGGAGTTTCACTACAAATGGCAGAAATCAGGCAGTAGTTGGTGAGAGAAGTAGGGTCTGTTCCAAGCTGACATGACTGACTCCATCTTTGTCCCAGTTGTGAAAACAGCTAAATGCATTTCTGCACTCTGTAGTTCTGTGGTCACAAGCCTGTTCCTATGTTAGCAAGAAAACCACAGACTGCCAGCTCTTTCCTGTGTAGATGAGAAACAAGAGTTGCTCTCTAAAGCAGACCCCTCTTCAAGTAACCACACTTCCTGCCCTTATACCCAGGTGTGATGAAGACCCTTACCTAAAAAGCTTCTTTACCTAGGTTTAACTCACAACCACAGTAACCTAGTTAACCATTTGTTAGAAGACCCCTGATTTAGGAAACTCTGCCTGAACACAGGTAGAGGAGCCAATAAAAATGGCTTAACCTGCTTGTTTTGGCTTAAACCAGCTTGTTTACTCTTGCAGACCATCCTGTATGCCAAACAGGATGTGGTTTTTGATTTTATAAACCCCAAAATATGTTCGAATGGTACATATTTTGATGTTAATGAGTAGGGTAATAACTTCTGAAGGAAGAAAAATATTTGGTAGATGTAGATAGGATATGTTTGTGCATGAGGAAATGAGAGAAATTCTGTAGTGGAAAACCCAAAGGCAGGTATCTTCCTAAAGAAAGGTTTATAAATTTATATTTAATATAGAAAGCAGAAGAGAGCCAGTGGAAGAATTATGGAACTGTAGTTCTAAGCAAGAAAATGGTTTTCGTACAGGAAAAAGAATCAGAAACTAAAGTTTAAATAAGAAGATTCAACTTCGTAGTTTACAAATCACATCTTCAGCCATATTCTGGGTTAATTTTCATAACAATCCTGGAGGTAGGTATTACCTTTATTTCGCAAATGATGAAATTAAGATTCAAAGAAGTTAAGTACTTAAGTGGCAGAGTCAGTACTCAAACCCAGTCCATGAACTTCAAAGCTGCTACTATGTTTTTCCTAATCCTATATATTACTAAAATCAGATTTTTGCAAGTAACAAACAGGTGCAAGTATTTATTACTTCTAAACTAATGTTATGTGGTTATGAACTGAAAAGGTCCACAGAACGTCAAATCATTTTGTTCAAATTGAGAAAGATAAGTTTCCAAATAGATACCTGTTTATTTGTATGGTATGGGCATTTTTAATCTGGTGTTTCTTTTAAAAATTAATGTTTTGCTGTGTTTATTTTTTCTGTTTTAAGCACAATTCTGTTACATCACTTCGTTTCATTTACTTTAGTCTGCATTTAAAAAATGAAGAGAAATAAAGCAATTCCGCAACTGTACGGTAAATACTGGTCATAGCCTTATTCCCAGCTCATGCGCAAACCAAAGTTCCCCCTCCCTCCTAGGAGACTGCCCCTGGCCAAGGTAGTTTATCCAAGGAAAGGCACATCCCTTTTAAGACAAACAGAATGCTGGAGGAAGCAGTGAGCCGAAGTAAATGAACAAACACTCTGGCACCAGGAGAGTAATGGGTAGATTAACTTGTCTACCCAGCCAGATCTTGGGCGCAATCTGAGTTATGTGAGAGTTATGTGAGCTGGGTGAGGGTCTGCACGTAAGTCTGAAAATGATTTACACCCCTATTCTGATCTGTTCACTATATAACTGTTGTATGTACTCTGTGGCGGTGTGGATTTCTTGCTGACCGACAGTCATCAGTGTTTCTAAGTCCACCACTGGTGTCTCTCATAAGTCTAATAAACCAATGTGTCTGCCTGCTGAACCTCTGGGTGATTTCTTTGGGATAGGTAAACACTACACAAGTACACTCTCATATTTGGGGCTCCCACGTTACAGCAACCAAGCTTGGTGTGAAAATATGAGGCAAAACAAACAATAAAGGAAGTTCTCTTCTGTGCCTTGCTGATGATGATTTTATTGTCTTTCAAAAAGGAAAACAGGTAAAAGTCTAGTAGATGGATATGTATGAATTACCTCCAGAGCAAACTGGGCAGCTAAACTTAGGAGCAGGGTAGGTGAACCTCTATCTGTAAGTAGATTATTATCTTCTGGCTTTTCATCTGTTAATAAATTCTCTAAAGTAGTGATTGCCTGCAAAGCTGAAAAACAAGAAAACAATAAAAAAGAGAGATACTCTTATCAAAGGTAATGCCTATCTATGGTTAATTACACCATAATAAATTTGGAACTCATTTTAAAAGCATTAATATTTTTAAAATATTAATTAATATTCATAAAGTAATATGAGTTAGTAAACTGTCAAGGATGATTTGAACATCAGAAAAATGCCCAATTGAGCATTTCTACTTATCTGAATTTATCCTATGGATATATTTGTAAAAGTAAACAAACAAATATAAGGATGTTCATCTAGCATTGTCTGTAAGAGTAAATTATAGGACCAACCTAAATTCCATCAATAAGGGATAGGCTAAATACATTTTGGTACATCTGTAAAATGGAATTTAATACAGAATAAAGTTAAGAATTGAATGGCTGTGTACTTGCCAGGCACACAAAAAAAAGAATTGAATGGCTGTATTAAATTTGATTATATGTCTTAAAGATGGACTATGATAAGTTAAATATATATACTATAGACCTTAAGTAACAAATATATAACAGAGTTATAGCTTATAAGCCAAAAAAGAAGATAAATGTAACCATAAAAAACTCAATTAATTCAAAAGAAGGCAGAAAAAAGGAAAAAGGCAACAAAGATCAGCTGGGGCAAATAGAAGACAAACAACAAGACACTAAATTGAAATCTAACCATATCAATAATCATGTTAAATATAAGTGACTAAATGACAATTAAATTGCAGAGATAGTTAGCCTGGATAAAAAACACACAACTGTCAAATATATGCTATCTATAAGAAACACACTTTAAATATAAAGACAATATTGGTTACAACAAAAAGGATGAAATAATATATACTATGGTAAAGGTAATCAAAAGAAAGCTGGAATGGCTATATTAATATCAGATAAAGTTTATTTCAGAGCAAAGAATATTGCCAGTGATAGAAGGTTATTTTAAAATGATAAATCAATTCATTACGAGGATATAATACTAAATTTTTATATACCTAATAACAAAATTTCAAAACATAAGAAACAAAAACTGGTAGAACCAGAAGGAGAAATTAACAAATTCACATTTATAGTCAAAGATTTCAATATCCTCTCTTAATAATCGATAGATCAAGTAGATAGAAAGTCAGCAAAGATATAGTACATGTAGCAATATCAATCAACTCGACCTGAATGATATTTATAAAACACTCAACTCAATACCAGCAAAATGTACATTATTCTCAAGTGCACATGAAATATTTACCAATAAAGACAGTATTCTGGGCAAGAGAACGTGTGTGTGTGTGTGTGTGTATCTCTGTGTGTGTGTCTGTGTGTGTGTCTGTTTGGCAGCTGTCCAGTATGGGGATCTGACCAATGTATGTAAAATTATCCAAGTCATGCAAGGTATGATCTTTGACCACAATGAAATTAAATAATTAAAAATCAATAAAAGAAAGTTCTCTGGAAATATTTGGAAAATAAATAAATAACACACTTCTAAATAATCCATGGGTTTAAAAAGGAATCAAAAACCAAATTGGAAAGTATTTTGAACTGAATTAAAATAAAAACACAACATGTCAAAATTTGTGGATTGTCACTACAGCAGTAATTAGAAGGTAACTTATAGCATTAGCTGTCTCTATTAGACCAGAATAAAGGTCTTACATCAATGATCTCAGCTTTCACCTTTGGAAATTATCAAAGTAAACAAAAGAATGGATATGAAAAAGATCAGAATGCAAATAAATGCAATAGAAAACAGGGGAAAAAAACAGAGGAAAATTAATGAAACCAAAAGCTGTGTTCTTTCAGATGACTAATAAAATTTATCAATCTCTAGCCTCACTGACCAGGAAGAAAAAGAGAAGACACAAATTACAAACATCAAAAATAAGAAAGGTGACACTAGTATAGATTTTACAGATGTTAAAATGATAACATGGCACCCACTGGGTCTGGAGTAGAGAGCCCTTCGTCCTGGGAAACAGGAAGCAGCTGGAAAGGGGGCCACCCCCTAGCCCATCACGCAATGCATGTTTGTGGGGAACCTGTTGCTAAACCATTCATAGATGACCTGTTTCTGGGTCAGGGTTTTGGACTTAGTAGAGCAGTTCCCTCACTGCCATCTATTAAGAGTCAGCCCTCAACAAAAGGGTTTGGAGGAGGGAAAAAAACCCCACCAAAAATAAAGAAAAGGAAAAAAAAGAAAAAAAATCACTGAACCCCCCCCCAAAAAAAACCCAAATAAAAGAAAGAAAATAATTTTTTTCAAATATAAAAACTGATAAAAAGATAAAAATAAAAAATTTTTAAAAATTTAAAAACGATAATGTGGGGGATATTATAAACAACTTATGCCAATAATTTCAACAACTTAGAGGAAAGATAAGTTTTTGAAAGACAAACCACCAAAGGTAAATCCAGAAATAATAAATAATGTGAATAGACCTATATCTATTAAAGAAATTTAATCTATCATTAAAAACTTTCCAATGAAGAAAACTCCAGACCCAGATGACTTCACTGGCAAACTCTACCAAACATTTAAGGAAGAAATAATACCAATTCAACACAAACTCTTCCAGAAAATTGAAAAGGAGGGTGTACTTCCCAATTCATTCTATGAAGTCAGTATTACTCTGATAGGAAAATGAAAAACATTACAGGAAAAGAAAACTACAGACCAATATCACTCATGGACACAGTTACAAACATTCTAAACAAACTGTTATTAAATCAAATCATATAAAAAGGAGACTACACCATGACCAAGTGGGGATTCTCCCAGGAATGCAGCACTGGCTTGTCAGTTGAAAATCAATCAATGTAACTGACCATATTAAGCTTTTTTAAAAAATTGATCATTTGAATAGATGCAGAAAAACCATAAGACCAAATTCAACATTTATTCCTAATAAAAACTCCCAGGAAACAAGAAATAGGAGAGAATTTCCTCAACCTGATAAAGGGTATCTATGAAAAACCTTCAGCTAACATCATACTTAACAGTAGAAGACTGTTTTACCCCTTAAAATAAGGAAAAAGACAAGGATGTTTGCTCTCACCAATTTGACTCAATATTTTACTGGTGAATCTAACAAGTACAACAAAGCAAGAAAAAAAATAAAGTGCACCCAGACTGGAAAGGAAGAAGCAAAATTGTCTTTATTTGTAGACAACATAATTATGTACAAAATCTGATGGAATCTACAAAAAAGCTACTAGAACTAATAAATTTAGCAAGGTTGTAGGATAGAAGATCAATATACAAAAATCATTTGTATTTCTATATATTAGCAATGAGCAATCAGAAACTGAAGTTTTTTTTAAAATGCTATTTAAAATAGCATAAACTATGGTATACTTAGGGATGAATCTGACAAAAGATGCACAAAACCTGTACACTGAAAAGTAGAAAACATCACTGAGAAATTAAATACCTAAGTAAATGGAGGTATATAACTTGTTCATGGGTTGGAAGACTCAATAATGTTAAGATGTCAATTCTCCCCAAGCTAATCTATAGACTCAATGTAATCTCAATCAAAATTCATTTGTGTAAAAATTGGAAACTGATTTTAAAATTCATATAGATATACAAAAGACTTGGAATAGCCAAAACAATTTGAAAAAGAACGAAGTTGGAGGACTAACACTACGTGGTATCAAATTATTACACATCTACACTAATTGAAACAGTGTGGGAATGGTGTGAAGATAAATGAATAGATGAACAGAACAGAATAAAGAGCCCAGAAAGAGACCCACACATATGACAAATGATTTTTGATAATGGTGCAGAGGCAATTCAATAGAGAAAGAATAGTTTGTTAAACAAATAATGCTGGTGGGACGGGAAGTTATATTCCAAGTGCTGAAGGAAAAAAAACTGCCAACCAAGAATACTTTACTGAGAAGAGCTGTCCTTCAGAAATGAGAGAAAGAAAAAACTTTTGCAGACAAACAAAAGATGAGGGAGCTCATCACCACCAGACCTATCCCACTAAAATGTTAAACGGAGTTCTTCAAGCTGAAAGAAAAGGATGCTAGTTGATGATATAAAAATATACAACTCACTGGTAAAAGTAAGTACACAGTCAGAATACTCTAACATTGCAATGGTGCTGTTGTAAATAACTTATATCTTTAGTATGAAGATTAAAAGACAAAACCATTAAAATAAAAATAGCTACAATAATTTTTTAAAGGGAGACAATATAAAAAGATGTAAATCGTGACATCAAAACATAAAATGTGTGGGGTTCAAATAAAAATGTTGAGGTTTTTTTATGTGATCAAAATTAAGTTATCAATAGTGCTTACCAGAGGCAGGGAAGGGGAGGAGGGAAAGGGGGCTCAGGAAAGATTGGTATAGACCAGTACAAAGTTACAGTCAGAAAGAATAAGGTCTGGTGCTCTAGGATGATGATAGCTAATAATATTGTATATTTTAAGATAATCAGAGAAGAGGATCTTGAATGTTATAACCACAAATAAATGATGTTTAGGTGATAGACATGTTAATTATTCTGATTAGATCATTATACAATATATGCATGACTGAAACAACAAACTGTACCCCATAAACATGTACAATGAAAAAAATTTTTAAATTAAGTTATCAGCTTAAAATATCCTATTATAACTATAAGATGTTTCATATAAGCCTCATGTAATAATTAAAAACCTATAGTAGATATGCAAGAGATAAAAAGCAAATAATCAATGGGCCGGCCCGGTGGTGCACTGCTATAGTGCGCCACTTGGGAAGTGTGGCGGCGCTCCCGCTGAGGGTTCGGATCCCACATACAGACCGGTTCCCGCTCGCTGGCTGAGCGGGGCGCAGGAGCGACGCCGAGGGCTGCGATCCCGTTGCCGGTCCCGGTCTGGTGCGGGGGCAACACTGAGGGTTGCGATCCGTTGCCGGACACGGAAAAAGACCAAAA